GTTTCGTATAATTCTCGACTAACGACAGCCTCTCTAAATCAAAGGAAGTCAGCGCTGAGTATCTGCCCAAATCTCCCTTCCGCCAAATATATGTTTTAATCATTTACAGCAGCGGTTCTCTAACTTTTCAGGCCAAGTACCACTTTTCATCAAATCAGACCATCCAAGTACTTTCTCATATTTGTGACTCCAAAACAAATGTGTGAATCAGGCCACTAGTTTTATTCATCCAGCATATGCTCTTGTGAAAGCATCAGGCTGTGCTTCACCGCTGATTGTTTTGGCCTTGAACGGCAGGACGTCTAACTGATCATGTTTTAATTGCTCCTCTAAGGAGCCCCTCCGTGACCTTACCCGCCTCTCATGTGGTCCTTGTGTACTGGCAGTTAACAAACTTAATTTAAGTACACCTCAAGAATTAAAACGAGCCACTTCTCGCTGCTGCCCACAGTCTCTTCTCCACGCCGACTCCCTCCAGCGCACACATCAGAGCGCCCTACAGCTCCAGCAGAGGGCGGAGCTGATGTTGCAGGCGGGTCACTATGACCCAGACGCTGTCCGGGCCTGTGCCGAGACTGTGGCCCTGCACTGGCAGACCCTCATGCTGAAGATGGAGGACAGATTAAAGCTGGTTAACGCCTCTGTGGCATTCTACAAGACATCTGAACAGGTGGGTTGTAAGAGAGTTTGTGATGGTTACCGTCAATGCCCACAACTGCTAGTGGCTGTGATTGTGGTTGAGAATGTTATAGAACTAATGATAAAGCTGTGAATCTGAATTAAAACAGTTGTTCTAAAGCTTTTTTGATCTTCAAATTACTTTTATTTCCACTTTAATTCCTGGTATATGTACATATGCATTTGGAGTTCATGTTTTTCAGTGCCTTACGTCATGAGCACTTCATTTTTTAGATGCTCTGTTTTTAAAGGTGCAATGTGTAATATTTTTGAGAATCTGTTTACAGAAATGTAACTTACCTTACAAAATTCACCGTTATGTTTTAATTACCTTAGAATAAGCCATTTCTATCTACATACACCGCGGGTCCCCCTCTGTGGTTAAGTCGCCATTTTGCGCCGCCATGTTTCTACAGTAGCCCTAAACGGACAAACTACTCTACAGAGCGCGTTTCGTCACTGTTGTTGTTCTTCTTTGTTTCTTCCTCGTGTTTTTAGAGGCAGCTTGCATCGTCGCTATGTTGAATACGCACAAAAAATAAGTAGTAGTAGTAGTAGTCGTCGTGTGGTTTATTAGAAGCCGAGGTCGTTCGTAGAAGTAAGAAGAGTAAGAAATGCTTGACTGGCTACTCTCTGCTGTCTCAGATGAGACATCTTTGTCCTGTGTCGGTCACCGTAGCTTCTCAAGGGGAGGGGCGGGGGGAGGGGCTAATTTGTTTTTTGCAATTCGCAACATCACCTCTAGATGCTGCTAAAATCTACACACTGCATTTGAAATATAATTTTTTGCAACAATCTGAAAATCTCTACTGTCAATTTTTATCAATTTGATGCATTCTTGTCCCTTAACACAGGGCTAATATGAAATGTTTAAGTGTATGACTTTCTTCGTTTCTTCCTCGTGTTTTTAGAGGCAGCTTGCATCGTCGCTATGTTGAATACGCACAAAAAATAAGTAGTAGTAGTAGTAGTCGTCGTGTGGTTTATTAGAAGCCGAGGTCGTTCGTAGAAGTAAGAAGAGTAAGAAATGCTTGACTGGCTACTCTCTGCTGTCTCAGATGAGACATCTTTGTCCTGTGTCGGTCACCGTAGCTTCTCAAGGGGAGGGGCGGGGGGAGGGGCTAATTTGTTTTTTGCAATTCGCAACATCACCTCTAGATGCTGCTAAAATCTACACACTGCATTTGAAATATAATTTTTTGCAACAATCTGAAAATCTCTACTGTCAATTTTTATCAATTTGATGCATTCTTGTCCCTTAACACAGGGCTAATATGAAATGTTTAAGTGTATGACTACGCCACTCCCACTAGTGTATGTGTAGGAAAACAATAAGTTTATCCCTGCACAGTAGTTTAAATAAATAAACTGGAAGCCGGAGTACAAAGTTTACAAAATGTATTTTTATAACAAATGAAATATTAAAATACTAGAAACCACTGATATAATTAATTAAACTAGATCAAGGTCAGTGGTAAATCTAAGATAAGAGTCAGGACCAACCACTTCTTAAATACTTTTCCAAGTGATAAAAGACCACACAAATTAAACCCTTGTGACAAATACACACACACTTCAAATACAGCCATCACAACAAAGTAATATTCACCCCAAAAAAGAAAGAAAACATCAAAATAGTAAAGTGTAAAATAGTTAAATTCTTGATTTAAACCACATATACTCAAATAATACTTTTACAACCTATAAAAGTAAATAACAATAATAAAGATGATAATGATAAAATTAAATTAAATATTAAATATTAAAATTAAATATAAAGTATTCAAACTAAATTACAAAAAAGGGAAAAAATCCGTGTATCATTCGATCATTCGTTTTTTTATTTAATATTGAAAGTAGAAAAATTAGAAAACGGCTCCTTTTTCGTATTTTCGTTTTTCCTTCATGGGTGGAAAAATGAATAAACAGCTTGAATATTCGATTTATACACGTGATCGAATGATACACGGATTGGAAAACAATAGAAAATCACAACACTTGTTATAAAATAAAAAAACAAATACAAAGATATCAAATTCAAAAAGAAAACGAAAACATCAACAGAAGAAACAGTGGTTGTCCAATACAGCAGCTCGTCCAATCCCTATAAATTTAAAAAGAAATCTTGATGCTCAGACATCGTTAAAATATAGATAAAATATATTTGATCCTTGAAAGTGCACACCTTACTCATAACACCATTACAGGAAAGGAAGGAGAAGATGGGGAGGAGAATTATATGGATTTGTTGCTCTGTCCAACAAAAGAAAGGGCCAGGTAGCTAGATGCTGCTGACAGAAATGGAACAAAATGGCAGCTGTAACCAACAATTTACTATTAGTTCTGAAAGACTCCTGTATAATACCAGTTACAAAAATACTGGTCGGCAATACACGCAGCCAATCACTCCTACCAAAAAGTTATAATTACCTGGCTGAGTCATGGTGATACGTAAGAATCACAGGTGATTTAAAATGCACATTCGAGAATGCAGGTAGTTCTTCCAACTCGTGAAACACTTGTCAGAGCGAAATCAAACGCCAGCTTAAACGTGATCACAACTGATTTGAAGAAGAAGCATTTGAGTGAAACGCATTTCAAAGAGCGGGATCAAACACTAGCTTATACAGTATCACGAGAACTTGAAAAATCCCTTTCCCAGCCCTTAAAGGGACCACTACATCATTCTTGCCACATCCATCCGAACTTCAGAAGTCACCGTCCCGGTGCCATATGTACCCCCACCCCTTTTCTAAATGGAGTAAATAGTGAGTTTATTGTAACTTGACTACTGTGTTGTCTGCCCTTTGGGGTTCAAACTGGCTTTGGGATGTTAAATGGGTTGGAGTGCTGTCCAGCCCATGTTCTACTTGAACGTCTTGGCATACTCTCTTCTTGTTTAGAGTGGTTACTACAAGCAGTTCTTGCATGTTCAGAGCCTGAAGATTCAAGGGAGCAAGTCACTTGTTCATTTTTTCAAGTCACTGTATTTTCTTCACGAGACTGGTACATAACTTGCTCTGTTGGATTTTCTCTTAACTGGGGACTGATTAGTGACTGGTTCTCCTTGATTCTCTCTGCTCATGGATTGACTTGGCTCTGATTTTGCTGGTGACCTCAATGTCTAAAATGGCCTGCAAAGGCCAGGACAATTCAGTAAAATCAGTTAAGGGACCACCTGATGCCTGTATGGCTTGATGGAGAACTACAGACTAGAGACCTGCACTCCCGTGGGAGTACCGCGGGACCCAACGCAACAGGGTGCAACTCTTGATGGGCGAGTGCGGGTGCGGGCGGGAAGAGACTCGTGTGTGTGCGGGATGCGGGAGAATAAAATGATTCGCAGGACTCCCGCAAAATAGAAATTATCTAAACATAAAATGTCCTAAACTTATACATTGTTATTAATGTGTTGCACAAAAGCAAAAGAACAACTAATAACATTAAAATGATTAACACACGCAAGCTAGGCAGAGTTTCTATTTATAACACGTGTTTAAAGGGTTGCGCAATGTAGCCAATCACAGACATAGCTGTTGATTTCTGGAACGCAATGGCCAATCAGAGGTGATTAAGTTAGAATCTACTCACCGCAGTGCTGAAATTGCGTGCTCAAGAATCGTCTCATTTTAACACAACAAGGCCAGTTTCAGCAATAAGGCTTGGACTCTAACACTTCACTAAAGTTTGCTTCCACTCCTTCCCAGCTTGTTGCACTGTAAAACACGAAAACAAATCCCTCCCATATTGTGAGAACAGTTCTTGATAGCAACAATTCAAGATATTCATTCCAAGAAGACCAGGGATGGAGAACTTATATTGCTTAGTAACAGGGTCTTTTGGGTCTTTCATAATCAGGATACCCATTTTAGGTAGGACTTTGCCCAAGACCTCTACATCTAGTTCCAGGTATCCATTATAGGGGATTTCCAAACCATTGGTAGCCCTCAGACATAACCAGCTACAAGGTTGCAGTTGTTCTTTAATGTGTGGTGGGAAATATAGCTCAAAAAAACTCTCAGTGATCATTGACACCATAGATCTGGTGTCTAGCAAACAAGAAGTTCGAACACCTCTAAACATGACTTGTACTACTGGGCATTGTCCTATAAGTTGAGGTGGTGTTTCATTTGATAATGCACTTGAGCCTGAAGAACCCCCTCCCAGTGCCAGACTCTCAACACCGTCAGCACAATTGTCAGCACTGCACTACCTGAACATCCGCAACACAAGAACGAACACAAGGCCGTGCACTAACTGTTTCCCCCTCCTCTGACCATTGAATAGCCTCGGTGCGTGCATCAAGGAAAGACATATCAGCATTCAGTCGAACTTGTCATTTTAATTCCCTACGTAATGAACTATAATGCATGTGTTCAATACACAGATCACGTAAGGTCTGATCTGGATTGCAAATACCCTGAAGGTTCTTAAGTGACATTACCTCCATTAAAGCCACCATACACATAAAGCAAAACAGAAAAAAACTTCTCAGAATCATCTCTATCACTAGAAGGGCGAAACGAAACTTCCGCATTGGCCTCACCAACTAATAGATCATATACAGATAAGGCCTGCTCAGTCTTAGGGACAGGTCGCACTGCTAAAGATCTACGTACCTCATCTATCCATTATTCCACTGATACTTCTTCGTGAGACCTCTTACCAGAAAACCTGGGGCATTTTCTTTCTCGGGGCATGTATACTAAACGTTCAGGAACAGGAACATTACTTGGTGCAGCAGATTGAAAAACATCATCAACATTAGGATTAACAGATGCAGGATTGCTAACATTAGCATTAATATGTCTTCGGTTTAACTACTCTCTAAGCTGTTTATCACAGCCGATTTTAAAGGCACATTCGAGAATGCAGGTAGTTCTTCCAACTCGTGAAACACTTGTCAGAGCGAAATCAAACGCCAACTTATACATGATTGCAACCGATTTGAAGAAGAAACATTTGAGAATACAGGCAGTTCTTCCAACTCGTGAAATGCTTTTCAAAAAGTGAGATCAAACATCAGCTTATACAGTATAGCGAGAACTTGAAAAAGCACTTGCCCAGCCTTTAAAGGCACCACTACCTCATTCTTGCCACATATGTACCTCTTATCACTTCAGACGTTTGTTCTATTTGACCGTAACTGCCCTGCGATTTGGACATCACAGGATATTCCGCCATGATTCCGGTTCGAAGGGAGCGTATATGTTCCATTCAAAGGGCATTAAAGTGTGCGAGACATGTATTTAAATTGTATTTATTTACAGAGGTATATTATGTCTCATTTCACACTTCTGTAGTAAGTTTCGTCTGTGTGTGAAGATGCTGAAGGCAGTGGCGTGGCGCAAATCCATTAATGAATGTTCCAAAATGAAGTAAACTTAAATGGATTTCACGTGCTCAGGGAGTAGGGAGCAATTAACACTGTGTAGGGAGCCTGTCAATCGGAACACAGTTCATGCATGGAACTCTCTTCTAACAAGCTGGTTATCTGAATCAGGAGTGTTAAAGGGGTCATATGATGCGATTTCAATTTTTCCTTTCTCTTTGGAGTGTTACAAGCTCTTGGTGCATAAAGAAGATCTGTAAAGTTGCAAAGACTAAAGTCTCAAATCCAAAGAGATATTCTTTATAAAAGTTAAGAGTCAACCATGCCTACCTAAAACGGCTCGTTCTAACACGCCCCCACATATCTACGTCACGATGTGGGAAGATTTGCATAACGCCGCCCAAATGTTCACGCAAAGAAGGCGTAAATTTTATTCTCGCTGTTGGCACCGCTGCCATGTTGTGGAGACGCTGTGTGTTTCGTTGTGAAAGCGAAACTACTTTGTTTGGCCTTCCAAAAGTGGACACAACTAGAAATCAGTGGTTAAGTTATATTTACAATTCCAACTTTGCAAGGACAGTCTGGCGCTTCTGACTCACAGTCTGTAAGTACGTTTTCATATG